GGGGACAGGCCCCGTGCCCCATTCCCACCCCCCTGAGCCAGCCAGTGCCCCCAGGTTAGGGTGACCAGAGAGCAACTGTGAAAAATTGGGACGGGGGTGGGGGGTAATTGGTGACTATATAAGAAAAAGCCCCAAATATCAGGACTGTCCCTATAAAATCGGGACATCCTGTCACCCTACCCCAACTTGGCCCAGGGAGTGTGTTAGAGGCAGGGTGTGTGTGTGTGAGGGGTGGGGGAAGAGTTGTGTATTTCCAGTGCTGGTATTTCCACTCCTCTGCCCCCCTGTGGCTCTTTATGTTTAGGCCCTGCCCTGGGCTCTCCGTGCGGGGTGGGGGTGGGGGGCGGACGTGGGCTCTGCCGCTTCCTTTGGCGTGTGGTTCTCACCTCTGGGGGGAGAGGAAACACAGCCGTGCGGTTAGGCAGAGCCCGGAAGCCGTGAGCTTGGGCAATTCCCGGCCTGGGCCCGGGCCCAGGGCCCCCAGCAGCGCTTTCCGTCATGTGTTTCGTCAGCTGGAGAGCAGGGGGTTGTGTGTGTGAGACCCCGCGTGTGTGCACAGACACACACACAGCCCCAGGCCAGGCTGGGCCATGAAAACACACACACAGAGCCACCCCTGCTCTAACCACTAGACCCCACTCCCCCCCAGAGCTGGGGACAGAACCCAGGAGTCCTGGCTCCCAGCCCCCCCTGCTCTAACCACTAGACCCCACTCCCTTCCCAGAGCCAGGGAGAGAACCCAGGAGTCCTGGCTCCCAGCCCCCCCTGCTCTAACCACTAGACCCCACTCCCTTCCCAGTCCCCGGGGGTAGAACCCAGGCATCCTGCTGAGGTCACTCTGGGCTGAGTGTCCATTGCCACAGGCGCTATCTGTATGTGGGCGCTCACTATATATAACCCTCCCCTCGTGGCCCAGACAGGTACCGGCGGGAACCCGCAGTTCCTCTACCCCCGCAGAGAGCCCGGAATAGCCCCTTATCAGCCATTGCCGCTGGGCTTATCCGTATGTCCAAGGGCGCCGAGCGTGGCTCACCCAGCCTCTCCGGCCCCCGCTGTCTGGGAGCCTGGCGCTAAGAATACCCCAGAGGAGAAAGAGCTGGATAACACTCCCACTGGGGGAGGGGGGATTCGCTAGATTAGGCAGCCCCCGCTGAGGGTGGCTGGCTGGCTGGATCGCTCAAGAAGGAGTGATTTGCTGGCACTAAGGATGGCGGGATGGGGCTGAGAAAGGCGGGTTGGCAGATACACACACGCCCCGGTCGAGTCCAGTGCGACAAATTCCCTGACTCCCAGACCCTTTCGGAGACACGCCAGGACCTCGAGAGGTCATCCAGTCCAGACCCCTGCACTCAAGGCAGGATAGAGTGACCAGACAGCAAGTGTGAAAAATCGAGACGGGGGTGGGGGGTAATAGGCACCTATATAAGACAAAGCCCCAAATATCGGGACTGTCCCTATCAAATCGGGACATCTGGTCACCCTAAGGCAGGACTAAGTATTATCTAGACCATCCCTGAGAGGTGTTTGTCTGACCTGCTCTTAAAAATCTCCATCAGCACAGATTCCACAACCTCCCTGGCCAATTTGTTCCCGAGTTTAACCACGCCGACAGTTAGGAAGTTTTTCCTAATGTCCAACCTAAACCTCCCTTGCTGCAATTTAAGCCCATTGCTGCTTCTCCTATCCTCAGAGGTTAACGAGAACAATTTATCACCTTCCTCTTTACAACAACCTTTTACATACTTGAAAACTGTTCTCATGTCCCCCCTCGGTCTTCTCTTCTCCAGACTAAACAAACCCATTTTTTTCAATCTTCCCTCACAAGTCATGTTTTCTGGCCCTTTAACCATTGTTGTTGCTCTTCTCTGGACTTTCTCCAATTTTTCCACCTTTCCTGAGATGTGACGCCCAGAACTGGACATAATACTCCAGTTGAGGCCTAATCAGTGAGCGGAAGAATTACTTCTAATTTCCTGGTTACAACACTTCTGCGAATACAGTATATCTCAGCATGAGATTTGGTTTTTTTGGCAACAGCGTTACACTGTTGACTCATATTTAGCTTGTGGTCCACTGTGACCCCAGATCCCTTTCCGCAGTACTCCTTCCTAGGCAGTCTGTGTGTGTGCAACTGATTGTTCCTTCCTAAGTGGAGGACTTTGCATTTGTCCTTATTGAATTTCATCCTATTTACTTCAGACCAATTCTCCATTTTGTCCAGATCATTTTGAATTTTCATCCTGTCCTCCAAAGCACTTGCAACCCCTCCCAGCTTGGTATCGTCCACAAACTTTATAAGTGTACTCTGTATGCCATTATCTACATCATTGATGAAGATATTGAACAGAACCAGACCCAGAACTGATCCCTGTGGGACCCCACTCACGATGCCCTTCCAGCATGAGTGTGACCCACTGATACCTACTCTCTGGGAGCAGTTTTCCACCCAGTTCTGCACCCACGTTATAGTAGCTCCATCCAGGTTGCATTTCCCTAGTTTATGTATGAGAAGGTCATGCGAGACAGTATCAAAAGCTTTACTGAAGTCAAGATAGACCACATCTACCACTTCCCCTCTGTCCCCAAGGCTATTTACTGTCAAAGATCACAAGCCTTGTGGATGGTGGGGGGGGGGATAGATAACACCACCATTCAGCTGAGGATGAGAACCCAGGTGTCCTGACTCCCAACCCCCCCGCTCTTACCCCCTGGATCCCACTCCCCTCCCAGGGCCAGGGCTGCTGACAGCGGGTTCGGGCCCCGGTGAAAAAAAAATTTCGCCCCCCCCCAGCAAGGGCGGACCGGCTAAACAGGGCTGACCGGGGGGGAGGGGGGGGAAGAGAAGAGAAGCCAGGCCCCCTTCTGGACCACCGGGCCCAGGTAATTTGTACCGGCTTCCCCTCCTCTTGTTGGCCCTGCCCAGGGCTGCACCCCTCCCTCATTAAATGGACTAGTCTCTCTGAAGAGTTTCCCCCAAGGCCCTACCCCCATGATCCACCATCAGCCAATGAGAATGTATCCAGCTGATATAATGCAGAAAGTGGGTGGAGCTTGGAATGTGAAGACCACCCCCTGCTCACTCCTTGAATGCTCCTGTAGTTGAATTGAGCTTTGCCCCCTCCCCCAACTCAATCTCCTTGCTCCTCCAGCACCCTGAGACCCTTGCGCTCCTCCAGGTGAGTTGAGCTTCGCCTTCAGCCGACCCCCTCCCCCAAAAGATGTGGGATCCCCCTGTCCCCCCCAGAAATCAGACACACCCAAAGGATTCAGCATGTTTATTTTGTTCACAGAACATACACAGGTTGGACGACTCGTCCGAGAAAGAGTTTGGGGGCAAAAACGCCTTGGAAACATCAGCCTGAATTTTGGTCAGTTCGGGGCAAGTCTGGGCCTCCGCAGCATCCAGAGCCTCTCACAACAGCTTACACAGTAAGCGTACGCAGCAGCCAGGGACCCTGCTGGTCAGACACCCAGGGCCGGAGCATAGCTGGGGGATGTCCGAGAAGGAAGGGCAGGGGTTCAGCGAGCTCTTTAGTGCAGGCTGGTCTTACCCTGACTTCTCGCCTCCTCCCAGGGGCAGAAAATTCCCCGTTTGGATTTTCGGCCTCCAAACTTCTCCCTCCGCCCAATGCACCAGCACTTCCTTCGTTCTGTCCCCCAAACAAGGAGCTAGTTTATAAGAGAGCCGAGGATCAGAGGCTGTTTTGCCACAGAGCAACCCAGCCTGGCCACCCCCTGGAGAACTGTAGTGTTGAATACTAGTACATTTGGCCGTCACAAAGTTTCCCCCCCCTCCTAGGAGCATTTCCATAGTTTTATACCTCCCTAGGATTTGCAGCCAGCTATTCCTCTGTCAGCTCCACCTCGCCTCAGGCTGCTTTGCTACCAATTCGAGCGGGGTTTCTCCCCCGGGTAACGGCACTAATAAACATTAATTAAAGTCCCCATAGAGACAAGAGCAAGATACATGTCCCTGTTTAAACGGATGAGGACGTTTAACAGTTTTATTCCACCCTGGGTTAAAGCAGCATTTTCCTCGCAGGCATGTTTCCACTTTGATCATTAAATAGCACACTATCTTTAAATTACAAAATGTATAAATATTATAAATATTAGATATTAATAAGTTATGTCAGTAATACCCCTCCCCCCCCACACAAAGTCTCAGTCACTGCTGGAGCCAGGAATTCCCTGCTCATGGCTGCCGAAGAGGTTTCACGTTGCTATTGACGTCAAGCGTCTGGATTCTTCACCGGCTTAGTTCAGAGGCAGCAGCAGAAAGCGTTGGCCGAAGGCCAGGCGGAGTTAACCCATTAGTAGCTGGAGCCAGGCTCCAGGCTGGGTTGACCCCTTAGGTGTCTTGGCCTGAGAAACGCTGGGTGGGGGTCTCAGAAAGCGGCTGGATTCTGCTCCAGGAACTGGCTGATTTCCATGGTGGATTCGGCAGCCTCGTGGCCCCCGTGCAAACTGGTAGTGTTGGCCACCTCTGGGACCTCCGGGGGCGTCGGGAGCACTTCTGGGAGGGGGGTCTTGCAGCCGGAGCCCCCGCTCTCTAGAGAGCAGTCGGGGACCCCCTGCTCGGGCCCCAGGGCCAGGTTTTCGTCGGTGTTATAGACTTGGAAGAAGATGATGGTGAGGAGGATGAAGAGCAGGCGCTTGGCCTGGCTGCGCTCCTTGGCTGGATAGTAGCGTTTCACCTGGTCGGGAGGAAGGAGACAGGACGTTAGAGACCTGGCTGGCAGGGGGACCCAAGAATTACCCACAATGTGCCCCATGCCCAACAGATTACCCAGAATGCCCTGGCACTCAGCCCCAGGGCAATCCCACTACCCAGAATGCCCCCCACCCAGCAACCATGGCTAGGGGGATAGCCCGGTTACCCAGAATGCTCTGCTTCTACCCACAATGCCCTCTTCCACCAAACCAACTGGAGATTTGGGGGCAGGGCGGACTCAGCAGCTGAGCCAGGCAACCTGAACCCCATTGCACTGAGCATCATCTAGATGCCTCCCCATGTGTCATATGCCCCATACTGCTCCCAGCTGGGGGCAGATTAGCAAGAGAATCGCCCCTGGCTGTGAGCAGCAGGGAGCCTGGACACACACAGCCCCCCCCCCCCCCCCCCCCATCAGACAGGGATCTCTGGGGCAAAGAGATGTGCACATGGGGCCTCCTGTCCAGGACATGCAGAAGCAGGTCCGATAGGGTGACTCATCCTGCACTGGTCTGTATGCCCACAGCAAGGGGGCTGGGCTACAGATCTCAGCTTCCCTGCTCCACTAGCCCAGGGGGCAGCATCGCTCCCTGCAGCCAGGAGAGGCTACACCACCCTCGCCATCTTCCAGAAGCAGGGACTAACCCAGAGAGCCATCAGCAGCCTACTTCTACAGCAGGGGAAACTGAGGCACAGAGAGGGGGATCAGAAGGTGAGCCCTCACTCCTGAATCCCCCCCACACACTTTAACCCAATAGACCCCTCCCCCCCAGAGAACCCAGGCGT